ATAAAACTCTGGCCAGGTGCTCAAGGTATTTCGGAACTTCTCTTCTCTGTGACGCAGGGTAGCTGTCAGTTCTTACATATGCCGGAGTTCAACAATCCGCCCAAGCCACAAAGACATGGAGGGAGGGGAGGTCTGTTTCCAAAAGAGCGGGATACAGGAGCGAGCTGCAGATAACATGTGGTTGGTTAAGGAGTGTTTACATCTTTTTAAGGGTACCTTTTTAAGGTTAGGTAAGTATACCAAGGGGACTTGGCCCAAATCGACCGCAGTGAGTTGACAAATGAACTGTCACACACCTTCCCAAAAGGGACACAAAAGCGAGCAACTCCAAAAATTGTGCAAAAATTTACACGGGTGGGTGAGACGCCTTCAACAAAGATGGGATACAGACGGATAGATCCTGTGTAGAAGGACCGGGACTCTATACCATCTACTGAGGAATTTAAAATGTTGTTCCCGCACTCTGCTCACTATAGAAGAAGAGTGGCTCAGTGTAATGGCCCTAGACTTCTGGGCAGGAGTCAAAAGAATACTTAAGTCTTCTTCCCATTTGCCTAAATAAGGTGGGCTAAAGTCCTCCGCAGGTGTAATAAGTAATTTGTAAAGCAGAGACAACTAATGTGAAAGCAGAAAGCCTGCTTGACAGAGTGATTGAAAGGAGGTAAGGGGTCTGCACAGGGCCATAATACACGGGATAGCCTTCAAAATATGTCTAAGCTGGAAGGATGACCAAAAGTCCAGGGGAAAGTCGACAATCAACTATCGATTGATTTGCAGTTAGGGCCATCCATCCAGCCGGGGTAAAAAAATGGAAAAATCAGGATCCCCCACAATCGGCATTAAAGGGGATGGAAAGTCTTCTTTACCACCTTAAGGGTCGGGCCTATAGTCGGGTGGAATAACAAATCCCTAGAATGTGCAGAAGAAAGCCAAGGTAGCCCGGCAAGGGGAACCAACGAAAAAGTTTGTTCCAGGGCCACCCAAGGCTTTGGGTTACAGTGAACACACTAAGTCAAGATACTAGAAAGATGGAGGGCCTTGTAGCGTAACAGTAAGTACGGTAAACCTATCCCCCCAGATGATTTAGGAAGGGTCAGGATGGATAGGCGCATTCGAGGCACAGTATCACCCCAAATGAAACGCAACAACAGGGAACAGGCACTCTGAAAAAAACAGCCTCGGAATGACCATCGGCAAAGTCTGAATGAGATACAGTACCAGAGGTAGGGTGGTCATCTTAAAAGCACTACATCTGCCAAACCAGGTCAGAGTGTAGGGTTCGCCAGTGTTGAAGGTCCAATCGAATTTTCGTCAGAAGGGGGGAAAGTTTGCATTATAGAGCTGAGAAACACCTGACGTAAGATGTATCCCCAAACATTTTAAAGATGACTGAGCCCACTGAAAAGGAAAGGAGACTCTCAAGGTCACAACTTTTGCTGCAGACAATTAAATGTTAAACGCTTCTGACTTGTGATCATTTATTTTAAAATTGGAGAGATTCCTATAATGTGTAAAAAGTGAAAGCAAGGACAGAAGCGCTGTGTCCAGATCAGAAATACAGAACAACAGGTCGTCGTTAAGCCATAACTTTATGGTGACTCCCCTCCCAGTATAAGCCCCTGAATTCTCGGGTCAGCCCCACCTGAGCACAGCAAAGGTTCTAGAGTTAGGCCAAAAATTAGGGGGAAAGGGGGCAACCTTGGCGGGTACCATTAGACAGACCAAAATAGTCTGAACGAGTTTCGTTAACACGGGCCGTCGCTTGTGGGTTAGAATAAAGAGCATTGATCCATGCTAGCATGTTAGTAACCAAACCAAGTAACCAAACCAAGATACGCCATAGTCGACCTCAGAAATTGCCAGTCCACCCGGTCATAGGCCTTTTCCGCGTCAGTAGAACGTAACATCAGCGGGCAGGCCTTCGACCTGGCAGAGTGGATCAGATTGATGGCTCTGGTAGTGTTATCGTGGGCTTCCCTGCCGGAGATAAAGCCCACCTGGTCAGGATGGTCTATGTGAGGGATGTAGAGTAACGACTGGTTAGCCATCATTTTTGAAAATAATTTCAGATCCACATTCAAAAGGGCAATTGGCCAGTAATTTGCACAATTAGTCAAATCTTTGTCCGGCTTGGGGATGACAGAGATGTGAGCTCTAAGAGCATCCAACGGTAAGGCCTGCCCTGCCGTAACTGAATTGTAGGTTTTGAGAAATCAAGGAGTCAAGACCTCCTTGTAAGTAAGGGTGAGGCCATCCTGCCCAGGAGATTTCCTTGCATGACCCGACGAGAGAGCAGCAAAAAATTCACACTCAGTAAGTGGATGTTCCAGGGAAGACATCGCTTCCGAAGGAAGTGTAGGGAGCCCAGACGATTGAAAAACTGATCAATCAGAAGTTGTTTGGAGGGAGGAGAGGCCAAATTTGTAGGAGACAAATTATAAAGGTCTCTATAAAAACGTAAGAATTCTTGAGCGATATCCTTGGAGGTAGAGAACCGTGCTCCGGAGGGGGGGAATGTACATAGGAAAGAAAGTTTTTGGATCAAGGACCTCTCAACACTCTGGCGCGCATTCTGCTTGGCTTGTTGGAATGTTCAAAAAAAGCCAGTCTAACCTGCAACAGTTTGGCGGAAGTACAGCTAAATAAGAAAAGAGTTCAATTTCATATTTTTAACAGAGATATTAGCTGCTAGAGCCCACTGGGCAACGTATCTAACACATATTCATAAATATTTAATATATTTAAATGTGACACTGACTAGGGACCAGTCCTTACTGGCTCCATAGTTATATCTATACTGTACAGCATTATACAGTATTATAGCATTTTATGTTATATAAAAAGAAAAGTTTACTGTGAGAGTAAAAATATTCGTTTTGGGCTTGGTCCCAAATAGACTTCCCCTTTTACTGAAATGTTTCTTCCTCATTTCACAATATTGCACAGGATGTTATATATTCAAATAAATTCACACCACATTCATGAGAGCGAACTAGAGGGATTAAGTGTAAACATTTAAACAAAGTGTAGCTGTTACTTATAGAAATCAATCAATTTTTCCTGGTTATAAAAATGCATTTGATTCGCTGCTAACACCTCCACTATGACATCTTCTTGGCATTGGCTACCTAGCTTGGTATTGGTTACCTGGGATTTGTTCAGCCCTAATAGATATATTATATAATAAATAAACATGTATATATGTGTATGTATGTATAGGTATATGTGTATATATATATATGTATATATATATATATATATATACACACACACACACACACACACACGTACACACAGTTTATATATGGAGCATAATGGCAGTGCACAAAGAGGGGCGGGGCGTTAACCTGTTGCGTGCTGCCATGAAGATGCACCACGGAAGGAAGATTACCAATAGTTAAGTATACAATCTTCTGTTATACTGTATACAGGTGAAACTCGAATAATTAGAATATCGTGCAAAAGTAATTGCAGTAAGTGCTGCAAAAGGGGCCCAAACCAAGTACTGAGTACATATGCATGCTTGTACTTTTCAGAGGTCCGATATTGTTCTATGTACAATCCTTGTTTTATTGATTGCATGTAATAATCTACTTTTTTGAGGTTGTGGATTTGGGGTTCTTGGGGTTTTCATGAGCTGTAAGCCATAATCATCACAATTATGACAAATCACGGATTGAATTATCTTGCTTTGCATGTAATGAGTCTACCTCATATATTAGTTTCACCTTTTAAGTTGCATTAGTGAAATAAATGAACTTTGCACGATATTCTAATTATTCGAGTTTCACCTGTATATGTACACACACACACAAGTCTATACACTGATGCACAGAGAGTTTTTTTACAGCAACCAAAACCTGAACTTATCTGTGAAAATTTGTCTTGCTACAACGGAACATGAAAGAAGAAAATGACAGCAATACTGCAAATTTATGAGTCTAAGTTTTATTAGATTAGTTATATAAGTGATACATTTCGGTTTCAGGTACTGAAAAACTGAGAAGTAAGAGCCATAAAGATAAAGAAGTGAATGGGGAAGATGTGGGTGCAACACAGTAGAGTAAAGTTTTGCATGTCATGCTATGGAATCATTCCATTTTGGTTACTGAACCATAGTTAGCCAATTACCGTTTCGGACGGCGCAGTGCATTGTGGGATGTCCCGCGGTCGAACAAACCGCGGACATCCCATAATGTTCGGTGTTCGGCGAACGCTCGAACATAGGTTCGACTCGAACGCGAAGCTCATCCCTAGTGATAAGTGCACATGACTCTACATCACAAGCATACAAAATGAGAAACAAAATCCAATTGTTCTAATAGGCAATGTTTGCATCCAGCATGACAGTACACAGACTTGGATGATTGGCTACTGAGCACTATATTGTGGAAGGCTTGGGGGACTTGACAAAGGGGAAATGTGTTGCTTAGTAACAGATGCTTTGTGACCTGGAAGTGGGGGAGAAGGACTTTCTCCCTATTGGGAAAGAATGACCTGCTCTTCTTTGGCTGTCACAGGCAGGCATCACTGACAGCTCCAGCTGTATAGCCCCACCACTGGCCAGGATGACTTTAGATGTAGATGGACACTTTCAGACCATAGACAGGCATTGTGTTGACCCCAGTATTGTGAATGCTATTGTTCATAATATTTATCATTCTTGCACAAGATTGGTGTGATTTGTTTGATTCTTTCTTGCTTTCAATGTTGGTGGCTGCTCTCAGCCGATTACTTGAAGCTGCAAGATCTGCGCTCACCATTATCATCTCGTACCAGCAGACCTTGCCTGGACTGGTTGTATTTAATTCATTAGGTTGAGGCTTTTTACCACCATAACAGACTGGACATCATTACAATGGAACACTGATCTACACTGCATCCATACACACTCATACACACTATTACAACGGAGCACGTCCTTACTGTGTACATTGCACCCATACACACTCCATTACAATGGAGCACTTCTTTACTGATGTACATTGCACCCATACACTTCACTGACATAATTGCAATGGAGCACTTCTTTACTGACCTACACTGCACCCATACACTATACTGACACCATTACAATGGAGCACTTCTTTACTTACCTACACTGTACCCATACACTTTACTGACACCATTAGAATGGAGCACTTCTTTACTGACCTACACTGCACCCATACACTTTACTGACACCATTACAATGGAGCACTTCTTTACTGATCTACACTGCACCTATACACTTTACTAACTGCCACTACATACACATATCTCTGATTTCCTCTGTAACAACACACTTTTCCACTGATTGCCACTGCAAGAACACATTTCTCCACTGATCTCCAATATAACAGCACACACTGAACAATATAACATGGCACACTGCCTTATTCTCCACTGAGAGCCAAATCTTTATATACTGCCAATGTCATAAAATACCCACTACAGTACCAGTACTCTTCTCCACTGACCACCTGCAATATAACTGACAGTCACACGTGCAATGGTGCACTTGTTCACTGAACGATCTATGGTGTGCTATAGATTACATTTCCCAGACTGCTGAACTCTGTTCATTGTATTGCACAGATATACCACTCAAATTTTATTTCATCCTGTTCAGTGAACAAACACAGTTTTGCTAACTGTAAAAGCGATCAGCTGAATCTAAATAATGTTATCGATGTGTGTTAATATTTAAAAAAGCTGTTTCTATGTATAGATAATTATATATGTACATAGAGACAGTCACATTTGCTCTCACATATGCAGGCTTTTACTCAGTAATGCCATACAGAGATCCTGCTTTACAAACTGTTTGTCACAAGACAAGCCTAAGTTAGCCAACTCACTGAAAACAGTGGGCCTGACTGGTGGTGCAGAATGAGAAATTGCAACAGGGACATTATGTGCAAAATTGTCTCAAAAAAACTCACACTTTGTGACAATTAATAATCTATTATATCTCAGATAACCATATTTTTAAAGTCCTGCGCCACGTCCTGCATGTATTGTGAATTCTTGTTTACTTGTCGCACTAGTAAAAATGCTGCAATATTTTAAGGTCACAGCAATGATAGTTTAATCGGGCTCAATGTGTTCCACATTAGGCTGACAAATGCAAATTTTTGCCAAGTGTACTTGTAACAAGGAATTTTACTTACCTCATTTATCGCTCTTGCAGGCTCGCTTCACACTGCAAGACCGGCGCCCACTGCCTCTTCTCCCTCACACTCGGTAGTCACAGGCCCTCTGACATCATCAAGTACAATGCAGCACCTATAGCCCTGCAATGTACATGAGGATGCTGAGGTACCGACCACACCCGGCACCAGCTGCCAGCAGTGCGGGAGATCAGGAAAGCAAAAGTGCTCGTTATGGGTACCCTATGCAAAAGCAAGCATTTACCCGTTGCAGTGTGTGGGAACCCCACTGCAAGGGGAGCTTTTTTGTGTCCCCCAGAGATAGGCTTTAGAGTAGAACTCCAGAAATGTAAAAAGTTAACCCCTGCAGTGGGGCTACCCACGCACTCTAAGGTTTAGCTGATAATTTTTCTCTAGGTGCCGGAATACAAAAGATATACTCACCTGATCCCTGGTCCTGCGGCAGTGAATGCTCACCTCTCTTCCCTTTCACTGAGGCTGTGGTATGTCTCTCGGCATCATCACGTCTAATGCAAGTGAATGGGCTGCATTACACGTGATAACGTCAGCGGGTCTTAAGGTGCCCATACACCTTACGATTATAGGACAAAACTTTTCGTCCGATGATCGAACCGTCGTACGATTTACGTACGACGGCCCCATCCTGCCCAGATTAACGCAAGTTTCAATCAGCGGTAGTTAGAAAAAAAACACCTGGACGACTTGCGGTAATTGACCACAATTATTTTCGTTTGCGCATGCGCAGTGTTAATCGTACGACTTTTGACGGACGGAAACACCACCAACCATGCGAACATCGTACGATCGATCAAAGTTTTCAAACATGCTTGGCCGTCAAAAGTACAGTACTATCGGTCGGGCACTCTATTCACACATTACGATTGTCGTACGAAAAGTCGATCGCATACGATTATCGTACGATAATCGTAAGGTGTATGGGCACCTTTAGACTGCCAGAACCCAGGGAAGAAGAGACTGAGGGAACTGGCCTAGCAGCCAGGCGAGTACAAGGATTAGGTGAGTAATTTTTTTTTTTATTTGAGCCCCTAGCCCCATTCCAAGGTTTAGCTTTTTACATTCCTGGAGTTCCTCTTTAAGGCAAACACTGCAAAAATAACTAAAATTCATGCTCACCAAAAATACACTATGCTTTCACTTTAAATTAATTTTGGTTTTAACACCATTCCACCGTTTCCTGGACATTTTTAGCAGTCTACTGATTGATTTTACTTCTTGCCTGTAGCTTCTCATTCATGATTTCCTGAGAGGTGAGGGAGGACAAGCTGGGAAAGCAACAAAGGCAACATTTCAGTAGATGCTGGTCTGTACTCACCCCTTGCAGCTCTGACATCAGCTTCATCAGATCTTCTTGCTGCTGAGCTCCAATATCTTTACTCTGCAGGGAAGAGGGGTAAACACAGTGAGGCTGAATGTTAAGCAGAATTGTTGGTAAATAGATACTTTAAAATTAATGTAAAAGTAGCATTATACTGTAACACAACCTCAAACCCAAAACTTTACATTAACATTTGTAATATGAACCATTATGTATATTTAGAAGACAAAAAACAACCCAGCATAATGTCAGAATGTGGGTGTGTGTATATAAAAAGTATAGGAAGTGAGACAGGAAAGGTGACAGCTCACAACATCTTGAAATAGTCAGATTTCCCAACTTGAATCCACCCAAACTCCTCCAAAAATGGGCCACGTCTCACCAAGACCACATCTAGTGGATGTTCAAGTATAATGTTTGTAAAGCAGAAGTAAATCTAGTGCTGGATAGAGTTGGAAAGGGAGTTCAGTTTTGAAGAATATGTCACAATTAAAGAAAGTTTACCCCTACTTCCTATTCTGTGTCTGTACACAAAAGTGGCTAGAGGCTAGAAGGGACACAAGCACTGGTTTCATTCTTTCTCCCACTGACTATCCATGTTAGGGGGCATTTTTGCTCCTGCTGACCACTAATGTAAGGGTAGGTTTTTCTTTCCACTGGCTATTTAAAATAAGGTGGCATTTTTCTCACTGCAGAGATGTTGAGATGTATTCCACTTCCCACTGACCACAATTGTAAAGGTCATTCTACTTCTCACTGACTACCATAGAATGGGGTATTCCTTTTCTTACTGACAACAAATGTAAGGGGTATTCTTCTTCTCACTGACTACCAATGCAAGAGTACATTTCCTTCCGCAGCACACCACTGAAAGGGTAATTTTACTTCTCGTTGATCACCAGTTTAAGAGAGCATTTTTTTTCTCAATAACATTCATATAAGAAGCATCTTTCCTCCTGCTGACAAAGAAAATAAGGAGGCATTATTCTTCCCTATAACACCCATGTAAGAGCATTTTTCCTCTTGCTGACAACCAATGTAAAGGATGTTTCTTCCTATAATATAATGGAGCATTCTTCCTTCCACTGACCACCTATGTAAAGGGACAAAGAATATAAGGGAGCTTTCTTCTTCCCAACAAGTAAGGGACATCTTTCCTCCTGCTGCTGATAAGGGGAGAGGCTTCTTTCCAATAACACTAATGCATTTTCCTCCTGCTGACCAGCATTATTACCATCTTGTCTTGAATTGTATTGTATCTTTAATGTCTTCCTTATATTGTAAAGCTCTGCAAAAACTGTTGGTGCTATATAACTGCTGAATAATAATAATAAATATTATAAGGGAGGCCCTAAACACCACTGCAGGCATTTCTCCTCCTTTCGACCATCAATATCAAGCAAACAAATTAAAACATGTGCCTTCAGATTACCCTAAAAGGGCCATTATTGTAAAAATATTGTGTTCAGATATCTGTAGGCAGATAATACCTGTAACAATAGTATTCAGTATATGAATTATATTTTTACTTCACATGTATTTATATATTTCTCCACATGAAGACATGCTGTCCAGCAAAAGTGACAGTGACAACACAATTCATAACACTGCCGGAGAAGCTTGAGCAGTTACAGTTTAAGTCATGTAAATTAAAGGTGAGCATTGTAAGCAGTCACTTTTTGCTGGATCAAAGTTTAAATGTGAACAGCAATGTGAATAAAGGCATGGGAAACAAAAAAGAAAAAGTTCATATAATAAATACTATTACTTATTGTTCTTGGCCTTTCAAGTTATGCTTTGATCTGAAGATTAGGCCAGGTATTATTACTATTTTAAAGGAGAACTATGAGGTGAGTGCTTTTCACTCACCTCATAGTTCTAGCCGACCTGTGACAATGAGACTGTACACAGAACACATACCGGCGTTCGCTCCCCTCTGCCGTGACAGGGGAGGGGCTGGATTTCCCCCCTCCCCCGCTCCGATCCACCAGCGCTGACTGGCGGAACGGACGGGGGAGGGGGCGGGTACAGCTGGCTCTGCCTCTACATAGGCAGAGCCAGCTGTCAGTCACGCAGCTGGGCGGATCCAGACATAATTATCGGGATCTGCTTCAGCTGCGGCGTCTCAGTATACCGCGAGTAGCAGCTTGCGGTATACTGCGCCATCTCAGTATACCGCGAGCTGTAGCTAGGGTGACGGGAGGACGCTAGTTTGTGTGCTCCCGTTACCCTAAGGAGAACTATTGGGAAAAGCCTTAACCCCATAGTTCTCCTTTAATGATTTATAGTATTGACAATTTATGAAACACTTAACATATATACTGTACAATCACATCAGTCCCTGCCCTCAAGGAGCTTACAATCTAATGTCCTTATCTCACACGCACATACATAGTAGGACCAATTTAGACAGGAGCCAAAGATCAGCATGTCTCTGAAGTGTGGTAGAAGACTGATTGACCTGGACGAAACTCATGCAAGCACAGGCAGCTCATGCAAACTTATTGCAGATAGTGTCCTGACCAGGATACGAACCCGGGACACCCTGTGCTGCAAGGCAGAGGTGCTAACTGATAAGCAACTGTGTCCTCTAAAATAGCAATATTGGTGGTTATGAGATAACAGGAAGAGGAGAACCCGCATCAGGAAATTGAAAACACTTAATACAGAAAGCTGATGAGAGAAAAACAGAATTCGTGCCCTGAAGTTATCACTCAAGTTCTCACCTTCTTGGTGAGGCGGGCTAGGTCCTCTCCGATATGTGCCAGGCGGGGGATGAGGTGTGTGGTGTAAACATCACTGAGTGCTGCATAGTCCCGACTCTCCTGGCGTGTGTGGTTTAGGATCATGTACCAGCAATTCACAGGGGATAGGAGATGCTGTTGCTCCTTCCTAAAGAAGCAAGGGTTGGCATAAAGAGATTAGGCTTAGGGTTAGTGCACGTGCCATTTGTATCCCTTTAAAGTTTATGTCAAAGCAAAATCAAACAAAAAACCAAACACATGCAGTACATCTCTGCAATACATGCATGTTTGTCCATGCTTTATACCTTTAAAGACCCTGCAAGTACAGAATACATGTTGATCTACCAGAATGCACTCAGCCCTTAATTATCTTTTGTGGGCTGACAACACCCAACAGAGTGGTGTCAACCTTGGACATTGTTTTTTGCTAAACTTCCAAATCACATTCGCTGTCTTCTTATCCATAGCATAGGAACTGATTGACTTATAGTCCAGGATAAGAATAGAGAAGGCTAAATGGTCTCTTTGAGACAACACAGGCAAAGAGCACATCACACAGAACATCTCTAAATTTCTTACAAGCTCAACAGGTAGTTCTTTGCACTTATAAAACAGTTGTAATAAAATTATTTCACTGGTAGATTTCAAAATGCTTTCACTAGTATATTACACAGGCCAAAAGGCAGCAAATAAGAGAAGTTTATTGATAGTGTTTACATACGCTTTAAAGTGACACTGTCAAAGGGGAAATGCAGGGGCTGCCATTGCTGGCCTCCTGAAGAAAATGATAGCTGCCTGTCTGTGTCCAACTTAAAGCGAACCTTGCACTAAAATTGCAAGGTCCACTTATTTGCCCAGGACCCCCTCCCAAAATGCTGCACAAAGCTAAAAAAAAAAAAACCTGTGTATCAAAAAAGTGAATCTACAGTACTTGCCTTACTCCTGTCTTCTGCCTGTGGTGGCTGGGTGAGGGTAGCATCACTATCCTTTTGGCAAGATCCCAGGGAATACTTAGTAGCCCAAATCTTTCAAGAAGATGCTACTGCACTGTGCATTCCCCAGAATCTCACCAGAAGGATGGTGATATCATCCCATGCAGTCCCAAAGATAAGTATAATAAATAACTTTTTTGCCCACAGGGATTTTTTTTTTGTTTATTGCAGAGTTTTCCGACGCCGGTAGTTCCAGGTCTGCATTAAATAACGGACTCTGAAGCAGCAGTGAGGGTCGAAAAAACGTCAGAATTGCTTATCACTATACTTGTTCTGGGTCCACTGTCTCAGAAAGCATTCAAGCCAAACCTTTAGCAGGGCAGTGAAAGAAAGAACATTCATAAATTAAGTGTTATACAATGGAAGCCTCTATGATTCTCACATGACAGAGTCCGTTTAATTCAGAAATGTGTGTGTAAAGCATTCTTGAGGGAAACGGTGTTTAAACTGGATCATATGAAGCTGTGTACACCTGCACTCGTCTTTGCTTTTGCCATTCACTGCTTTTACTTCTCGTGCCAAAAAGAATGCAATGTCAGTTCAAGGTAACCTCATTCGCAGCACAGATCAAATGGAAAGCTTTTTTCTTTAACAGCATTCAGCATTTGACTTGCTTCTGAGTATGGCACTCGTGTACAGTTCACTAACCCTTACAAAGCCAACAACATCTATACTCAGCTACCCCAACGTCTACTGTTCTCTGATATAATACAACTCAACCAGTGTAATCCATAGATCACCAAATGCTTCTCCAAATGCACACTGGTGAATGAAGATAAATCTATTTATTCTGAGCCTGATGACGGGGACCCTGCGAGGCCCCGAACGTACTTGCTATTGAATGACATTGTTTGTCATTAAAATGGATATTTGCTGAACACAACAGCTTGGTGTGCTGGTGACATCCTTTATAGTTTTTCATTATTTCACGGTGCCACCGTGGTCATTGCGTGCACCCACTTGCATTTTTTCAAGGAGTGCAGCAAGATACATATACTTTCTGGAGATAAATGTATTCCCAATACAATGTACTGACTGCAGATCATATCCCTATGTACTATGCTATTATTTGGCCCATCTTATTTCTTATTCCGAGGAGCCTTACACAACACATCAGCCTTACACAACACAGGTTGGACAGTCACCTGAAACCATGGTGCTCCTTGGAGTTGCGGATTTTGGCAGAGAAGCGGTCGCTCAGTTTCTCCAAGCTTCGGGAATACTCCAAATTAATCTCGGCTTTCCTGCGCAAGAATTCGCTCATGTCCTGCAGCAACTGCTGGCGGAAATCCACCTGTGCGTCCAAACATTTCACTTGTTCAGTCAGCTGGCCGCGAATCTCTAGAGAGAGAAGAGGTCACACCGTCAGTAAGTGATCTGCTTCAAGTCATGATTTTTTACTGCAATGTTCCTACCTTGTGTGCATCACACTTAGACTGTATATTTGAGTAGGATAAACTGTAACTCTTTTACTTAGTGAAACAGAAGCCTTTCAGCAATCAGAAAATACATTCTCTTTTTACAGCTAGCTAACAAAGCATCTAAACCTTTCAGGACCAGGTCATTGATGCCTAGGTGTTCAGGCCAAATTTATCAGTGTTGGGAATGCTTTGGTTGACTTAAGAATAACTCAACACTAACTCTATAACTAATTTGCCTACCTATATCTTTTTGTTAAAAACATGATCGAGAAGAATCTTGATTGGCTCCCGATCCTCAGTGGGGAACCCTACTGGTGCTCAAAGCAGGGAAATTTATAGATGTATCCACAGCATGGGGCATCATGCTGGGAAACGTTTATATCCAGACTGAAGGTGAAAAGGAGTTAATCCTCTAAAGCTGATATTTCAGTTTTTGGTACATGCTAGAGAGTTAAAAGGAGAACTATGGGGTTAAGTCTTTTCCCCATAGTTCTCCTTAGGGTAACGGGAGGACACAAACTAGAGTCCTCCCGTCACTCTAGGCTCAGTATACCATGAGCACTCACCTCATAGTTCTCCTTTAAACCACCAGATAGTATCTTGTATCTTTTAAGGATTTTATTAGTGAAATATGTGTACTTTAGTCCTCTCAATTATATCCCACTTGCCGTGTTGGATTTATGTATTTTTTATACTATGAAAACTGGAGGTACTGAAACATGTAAAAGTTGGGTGGGAACATTTAAAGAATTCCCAAACAGCCAGGAACAGAGTCAGGAAATATGTCAGGGAGTTCTCATTGCTGAAGTTTCCAAGGGGTATAGGAAGCCTATAAACTAACTAATCATTTTGAGCTACTACAAAGCATGGCAGTACTTTGGCATTGCTGTAATATGTTTACATCCTTAATGTGCCATATGTTCATTACCACATTTCATATAAGAATTCCTTGCCTGCTTGTCAGCGAATGCAGTTATAATCCTTAAGCAAGGGTTGCAATATATACATGTTGAAATAAAAATTTACAAATACTCATTAAGACTAGGGTTAATGAATATTAAAAAAAATGTACAATAATGAATATTAAAATAAAAATGTACAAAAAAATTATTGAAAATAAAACATAACTATAAACTTCAACATCAGAAAACATTTCCAAAAACAAGGTTGCAGGCCTTTGAAGGTCACATCTTTTTTTGATCTGTTCTCTACGGCAGTACTAAATATGTTAGGCCCCCAGGCGCAACACACCGCCTTGGGGACAACCTCCAACTGGCCGCAGAGACCTCAAGTATCTACATTTACTGTTCACCATGTTGCACACCATGAATAGAGGACACCATACCAAGACAGGTCTCCAAACATTATCGACCATACCAAGACAGGTCTCCAAACATTATCGACCAGCACCTATATTTTGACCGCCTCCAAAGACCCCAACTGCCCATACTGATATAAATACATTGGAGCCGTCGACAAACCAACAGGGTGTGTGGTAGGGAAGTTCGTGTTTCAGCATTGAAACGCAATTAAAAATGCCCAAAAACACACTGATCAGCACGTTTCCATTAAATTCTGTATAGAATCCGCGCTGAGCAGTGCGAAAAAAAAGGCCCGGGGAGCATTGCGAGCGGCAGGCGGTTCGCATGGATGGTCCCCATAGGAATGGTCCCCATAGGAATGTATGGGATAGTTCATGTCGGCAGTTCAGCGAAGACAAATCGGCGCGACCGAACCGTCCTGGTGTGAACGGGGCCTAAAAGCTGGCCGAAATTCAACCAGTGTATGGGCACCTTAATGCAGCCACCAGATGTAAGGCTGGTAAGCTGCATTATAAACTGCATGTTCAGCACTGACATTATCAAGAGTTTCTGTGTACTCTAGGATTTCCCCCTAAGGCTCAAAAACATTAAGCCACATTTATAAAAATATCTAAAATTTCACATTTTAAAAAACTTCATGGCAACACTTAAAATTAGTGATGTAGATGGAAATGTTGATTCTTCGCAATGGACAGCAGGTGTTTTACAGCTATCAGGTAGCTTTAGGTTCAGAGAGATTAACTTGAAGTGGACCAATCATTAAAGCAATACCCTTGCATCATTAAAATTACTCTTGCAGTGGTAGTGACTGAAGAGTCAAATGCTTGTTAGATCCAGGGGTAGAGAAATAAAATGTAATACTTTATTTCCGCTTTGGCAGATTTCCTCCATGCTGTGTGACGGTCCCTGAAGTCTCTTCTCTTTACCGCTATGGCTGGCAGTCGTACTGTGATGTCATCAAGTACAATGCAGGACCAAAAGTCCTGCATTATACTTGAAGACATCAAGGGTCGGCCACAACCAGAGTGATGAGAGAAAGAGAGGAGAGCGCAGGAGCCTGCTGGAGGGAGGAATAAGGTAAGTATTACTTCTTATTCCTCTAACCTCTATGAGGTGAGTGGAAATCACTCATCTCATAGTTCTCCTTTAACGAGGGGCCCCACTGCACTGCAAGGGCATTCTGCCAGAGCTTGCTGGAGGGAGGAATAAGGTAAGTATTACGTCTTATTCCTCTATTCTTAGACTTAACGAGGGTCCCCACTGCACTGCAAGGGCATTCTTTTTACAATGACCATAGTTCAGCTTTAAAAAAAAATGTTTTAAAGTATCTCTTGCTTGCCATGAATAAAACCTGCTTCTGCCAACAACCCACATGACCTAAAGGATAAGCAGACTTTACCACGTGAAAAATTGTGAGCGTTTCACATCATTAGAAGTTGAGAGATTCTATTGTTTTAAGCTAGACATATCATGTCTGGTAGACTTGCAGTGTAATTAGAGTCAACAAGGCCAAACTAGCAGATGCTGCCCCATCAACATACGTAATTATAAACTATATGTACTGTAATGTTAGGGGAATCCAGCAGGATCACAGGACACAGGTTTTGCAAATAACGTAATTTTTAAACGTTTATTACTGGTAACTAAAATAGCTTCACAGCAGCAAAATAACACAACAGTTCATCTTCACTGACCAGCTGGAAAACGCAAACAGCGACTCTTCAGTATAACAAAGGAATAACAGTTTCACCGACTTGAAGCTTTCAGAGCTGCAATCGCAGTAAACAGTCCCAGACTTGCAGGGTAACTTTCCCAGTCTACAAGCTTCCACATAGGATACTGACAGGCAGTTTCACACAAAACACAAATCCAGTATCGTCTACACTCCTCCACACTACTCTTCACCTGCTATGTACCACTTCCTGTCTTTTTACTAGTGGTTCTCAATTGGTGGCTTGTGACCCCATGTTCAGTGGGTCCCTGCATGCCTTCCAGTGCACTAGGTGAGAGGCTTCTCAGCCCCCCCATAGCACAGCACTGTCAGTTCTTGTGCTGAGCAGCCATTCAAAATATGCTGCCTGGTGCCAAGTGTCAGATTGAGGTGGGGTGGGGTGGGCTGGGGGGTATGGCCGCGAGGGAGCTCCATCCATGATTCACCGTTGTGGGGTCTCCATGGCTGACCCATCGCTGAAGGCCGTCTGGCAGGCACCTTAGGTATCGGTCCAACACGATCCAGTCCACGATCTGAGGGCCAGACAACACCTCAGTCTGCAGCCATTTTTTTACCAGTTGCACCAGGTCATGCATCTGGGACCTTGGTGCCCACTCGGAACGATACCTCCATTGATGTACTCATTGTGCCCGAATGGCAGTAGTCACCCCAGACATGCCAGAATTTCTGCCTTTAGTCATTCATAGTCTTTAGCTTCAATCGGGCCACAGATCAAAGTATGCCTTTTGAGGATCTCCAGTGAGAAAAGGAGCAATGAGGCCAGCCGACCGGTCTTGGGGCCACCCTTCTCTTTCTGCAGTTCTCTCAAATGTAGCAAGAAATGCCTCTAAATAATCATTTGGGCTCAACTTCTGCAGATAATGGCTGGCCCTCACGGTCACCTGTTTGCCAGGGGCAACAGCTGCATGCTCACGCCCCTGAGCTAGATGCTGCACTCCCTCCTGCAAGGCAGTCACCTGCATCTGTATAGCCCCCTTGCTGGGCTGCCAGCTGGGCCACCAACAGGCTAGTGCTTTCTTGTTGCTGAGCCAGCGCCTCCTCATGGTGAGCCTGTTGAACCTCCAACTGGGTTGCTAGGCGCTGATTAGCTTCCTCCATTATTTCAGCCTTGTGGGTTTGTGCAGCTTTAACACAAAACATAAATCAAGTGCACTGTCCCTTTAAATGTCAGTTTTAAGTCAAATGCCGTTTCTGTGCCTGTTACTCTGTCCTGCCCACATTCTCCACCAGTTGTTATGTTAGGGGAATCCAGCAGGACACAGGCTTTGCAAATAACGTAATATTTATTAACTAAAGTAGCTTCACAGCAGCAAAAGAACAAAACAGTTCATCTTCACTGACCAGCTGGAAAAGCAAACTGCGACAGTTCAGTATAACAAAGGAATAACAGTCTCACCGACTTGAAGCTTTCAGAGCTGCAATCACAGTAAACAGTCCCAGACTTGCAGGGTAACTTTCCCAGTCTACAAGTTTCCACATAGGATACTGACAGGCAGTTTCACGCAAAACACAAATCCAGTCTTGTCTACACTCCTCCACACTACTCCTCACCTGCTATCTACCACTTCCTGTCTTTTAAACAGACATCCTCCAGCAGGTGAGTTAACCCTGCTTTGTCCCTTAAAGGGACCACAGCCCAAACAGAGGGGAAATATAGGGTCCTTCTAGGACCCAGCCCCGGCGCCCTGTACAGTACAAACAATTTTGAATAGAATACCACATATTGGTAACATTTTATACATTACTTTAAACTCGTTCATGTGAACTGTATATAGTATTTAAAAACAAAAAAATAAATGTAACACTATTATTTCCTTTTTAAGCATTTCCAGCTGGAGTGATACGTTCCTGTTCATTGATAACTTG